CTGACATGAAAAGGCCTGATAAAGTTCAACACCCTTTCCTGATTAAAACACTTCAACAAATAGGAATAGAAGTGAATTTCCCCAGAATAATGAAAAGTATATACACAAGAGCCAACATCATCCTCAACGGAGAAATTAAAATAGGGTTCAGACACGGATGCCCACTATCACCACTCCTAATCAATATTGTATTGGAAGTACTTCCTAGGTCAGTAGGACTTAAAAGTCATCCAAATTGGTAAAGAGGTGGTAAAACTATGGCTATATCCAGACAATATGACAATATACACACAAAACCTCAAAGACTCAACAAAAAAACCATTGGACCTAGTAGACCAACTGAGTAGAATGGCAAGATAAAAAAATCAAAATAAAAAATCAGAGGGATTTCTTTCTCCACACAAGCAAAGAAAACATGGAAAAGGAAACTAAGAAAGCAATACCAATTACAATAAACAATCTCAAGATAAAATACTTGGGAATAAACCTAAGTAGAAACACAAAGGACCTTTATAAGGAAAATTGCAGAACAATACTACAAGAAACAACGAGACAGAGCAGAGGTGTGAGGATGGGGAGGGGAGGTCACACAATCTGATGGGTAGAGGAAGGGATGTGTAAAGAAAATGGGAATGATCCATAGTAAAAAACAATATATACAAACTTTGTAAGCAAACCAGTATAAAATAAAAAATTTTAAAAAGAAAGAATAAGAGACCTAACTAAATATAAAAATATTCCCCATTCATGGATAGGAAGACAACATAGTAAAAATGACAATCCTAACAAAAGTAATTTACATGTTTAATGCAATCTCAATACAGTTAACAAATTCATTTTACAAAGAGACAGAAATGGCAACTGACAAGTTTATTCAGAAAAGAGACTACAAATAAGTCCTTCTGAAAAATAAAAATAAAGTGGGAAGCATAACACTCTCTCTCACAACCTAGAACACAACTGTAGTAACCAAAACAGCCTGATATTGGTACAATGAGAGAAACATAGACCAGTGAACCTAGAAATTAACTCATCTACCTATGGCCAAGTGGCATTTGACAAGAAAACAAAACTTATCAAATGGGGAAATAACATCCTCTTGAATAAATCCTGATGGCAAAACTGGACATCTACCTGTAGAAAGCTGAAGCAGGATCCACATTTCACACCATACAGAAAAATCAACTCAAAGTAGATCAGAAACATAAAGAAAAGGTCCAAAACTATAAAGATCATAAGAGACAAAATGGAAAAACGAAATGTAGATACACACTACCCTATGGTATAAATAGGCTTGCAAATACAGCCAGAAATGTACAACCTGGAGAGGATAAAATTAATGAACAGTATCTTCTAAAAATTAATTCCCCTTGTGCATCAAAATCTTTTTCCAATAATGAAAAGAAAATCTACAAAGTGGAAAAAACATTTGCCAATAATATCTCAGACAAGGGTCTCATAATGAAAGTTTATAGAATATTAGAGGGCATCCACAAGAAAAAGCCTGATAACCCAAACACAAAAGAAGCAAAAATTATGCAAAGGCCCTTCACAAAGGAAGACATGTCCAGCAGACACATGAAAAAAATGCTCAAAATCACTGGCTATCAGAGAGATGCAAATCAAAACCACAATGAATTAACCATCTCACCCCAATGACAGTAGCAAAGTGTAACAGGACAGCAAGCAATAAATGTTGGAGAGGATTATGAAGAGATTCAACTCTCATACACTACTCTTGGGATTGTAGAATGGTGCAGCCACTCTAGAAGGCAATTTGGAGTGTCCTAAAAAAGCTGAACAGAGAGATCCCATTCGGCCCAGCCATTCCACTACTAAAAATATATCCCAAGGAAAACAGACCTGAAAAACAAATGGAGAGTCTGTATACCTATGTTCAAAGCAGAATTATTCACAAAAGTGAAAAAAATGGGAAAAACCCAAATGGCCCATCAACAGACGAATGGTTTCAGAAATTGTGGTACACTCACCCACGGAAAACTTGTGCACTCAGAAGCAACTTTGTAAAACACTATATAACATGGAGAAGTCTAGAGAGCACTACGCTATGTGAATTAACTCAGTCTCCTAAGGAAAAACATTGTCTTAAAACATTGTAAAAAGAGAAAGATAACAACAAAGATGTATATAAAAGTTCAAAAGGGGAACAGGCAGGGTACGAAGGGCAAGGAGGTGGGAAATAACTAGGAGATATAAAAAAGTTCCTTAAAATGAATGAAAATTAAAATACAACTTATCAAAACCTCTGGGATACAGCTAAGGTAGTCCTCAGGGGATTATTTATAGCAATAAGCAAACACATAAAAAAAGAATGGAGCAAAATAAACAACTTAACACCTTCACCAAATAGAAAACGGACAAAAAGCTACTCCATACCTTCTGGAAGAAAAGAAAATATAAGGGCCAAAAATGTGAACCTGAATTATAGTCTTTTAGACATCATGCTTGGAAGGGTGGATAGATTGATACAATAACTGGGAAAATGGGGGCTAGTATGTCAGAATTAATGAAACTAGCTCAGGACAGGACAGGGTTCAGAGACCCTGCACATAGGGTTGTTATGGATCGCAGGCTACTCAACAGCACATAACAACAACAAATTTTAAAAATGGAATTAATTTCATTTTTACGATTTCTTGGAAATTCCATAAATTTTGTAAATATTCTGGATCTATTAAAACTCAGATTGGGTATAACAGAAGTCTCTACTTAAAATATATTGAAATGTTTCTAGTATAATTAAAGTAACAAAATTGAGTTTTATTCTTTGTAATTAAGTGTCATATTAGTCCCATCAAGTGCTTTACACTACAGGACAGAGTATAATTATGACCCTGGGAAACCCCAAACTTCAGGCAAGTTAAACAATTTCAATATATCTGAAGTATAAAGTACATGTAGATAATTTTATAGGAGGTGAGTAATATTTTTAATTGATATTTCAATGAAAGTTTATAGAGAATTTGAATTTTCATCCTTTCATTGTTAAACATTTTCTTCCCTGCCCACCTCCTCCCCAATTTGCTTTTCTCTCTGAAAAAAAATTCTCTCACTGTTGTACAATCCCCCAATCCCTAGTCCACTTTATTATGCAGCTCTTATTCTGGACTGTTGTCATGCAAGTAATACCTAATCATATATTTCTTTAATCCTCTCTTCTCTTAGTTTCCCACCGACCCCCATGTCAATCCTGTTTCATAACAGTAGCATTGTGCAGTATTTGTTCTTTTGTGACTATGATACTTCACTCAGCAAAATGTCCTCCAGGGTCCCCCATTTTGTACAATTTTTCATGAGTTCCTTGTTTTTCAGTGTTGCATAGTGTTAAATTGTGTGAATATATCACAGCTTTTCTATCCATTTGTTGATGGGCACTTGGGTTGTTTCCATCTCTTTGCTATTGTGAACAATGCAGTAATAAACATGGGTGTGCATATGTGTGTTTGGGTGGCAGTTTTGATGTCTTTAGGGTATATTACTAGTGGTATTCCTAGTAGTGGAATTCCTGGGTCAAATGATATTTCTATTTCCAACTTTTTGAGAAAGCGTCATACAGCCTTCCAGAGTGGTTGCACCATTTTACACTCCCATCAACTGTGAATAAAGCTCCAGTTTCTCCACTTGGTTGTTTGCTGTTCTGTTGAATTTTGCTACTATTACTGGGGTGAGATGAAAACAGTTTTGATTTGCATCTTTCTTAGAGCTAGGGATTTTGAACAATTCTTCATGTGTTTGTTTGCTATCCGAATGTCTTCTTTGGTGAAGTCTGTTCATATCATGTACCCATTTTGTGATTGTGTTGTTTATCTTGTTGTGGTGTTCAAGTATTGTTTAAATTCTAAATATAAATCCCTTATCAGACAAGCTATTACCATTTCTATTTTTTTCCCCAGTCTGTGGCTTTCCTTTTAACCCTGTTGGAGAAGATTTTTTTTTTTATTTTTTTTTGGAGAAGATTTTTGATGTGCATAGGAATTTGATTCTTAGAAGGTCCCATTCAATAAAAATTAATAAAATTTAATTTAAAAAAGAAGGTCCCATTCATCTATTTTATCCTCTCCTTGTTGTAGGGAATTATAATTTTTATAATATACATAATGTCTTCTACCTACTTGCCTTGACACATTGAAAACTACTCAATAAGGTAAAATCTAACAAGACATTCAAGGTCTTTAGTAATCTGATGTTAAAATCCATAAATCAGATTTATTTGGCTCCAACTTGACGTTACATAACAACAACAACAAAGTCAAAGACAGCCACGCAAGTCAGTTTAACAAATACACCACAGATTTCACACTTCTTTGCTTGACATGAAACATTTTTTCCTCTACTTTCTGCTTCTTCCAACTCACTGCCTACTAGACTTTTCATTATCTAGGGTTAAATTCAATTAAATATAGTCCTTCTTTACTGGCTTCCCAAATGTCTTGTACAAGGAAAAATTTACTCACTGTGTACATATACTCCTATAGTTGTTGTTATTATTGATTGCCTTTGAGTCAAGCACAACTCTTCACGACCCTATGAACAAAAGCCTTGAAGCCCCTCTACAACTATCGACATTTATGTAAGTTCATAGTTTCCAGAGGTATGTTGTTCAGAAAGTGGATGCCAGGTTCACAAAGTACTTATTAAGTGCCTAGTATGCAAATATACAAGTAAACAAAAGTAAATATACACACACACACACACACACACACACACACACACACACACACACACACACACACTGTGTTCCTAGTGTACTTTATTGAAATCACGGCAAAGGTGAGGGTATGAAAAGAAGAGTGTGCAAACTTTGAAAAAGTTCTCCAAATGGCCTTATTATGTTGTCTTCCAGTTGGCCAAACACAAGTTGAGAATTAAAATACTAGAAAACATTACAACAAACTAGTGATAAATAAATAAAAGTGAAAATTTAGATTGTAAGAAGAATCTATAGAATACACTACTGTATTTTATACATAAATTCTTACTTGTTTTTTCCTCTAATTGATTAACTTTATCTCTGGATTCTTGCAAGAGGAAAGTTAACTCTTTCATCTTATTTTCTTTCTCAGTGCTTTGGATCAATAGTAGTGACACCTAAAATAAAGTATTTAAATAATACATTGTAGATATCAAAAACAAAGTAAGAACACTTCATTAATACTAATTCTTAAATGCCAAATATTTAGTTACACTGATGAATACAGTGTAATAAATAATAATAATAAAGAATAAATAATCTTTATTATATCATTATATAATTTATATATATCATATATATCAGATAACAAAATAATATTTATTATATCATTCAAAGTCATACTCTTTTTCTTTTTTTATTTTATTTTATTTTTTAATAATTTTAATGAACATTTACAGAGAATTTAGATTTCCATTCATTCATTGCTGCACAGTCATACTCTTTTAAAGATAGTGAACAAAGCTAAGATATAACTTTTACTGGTCAAAGATTCATGAGTTAAAAACTCTCTTACGAACAATAATTATATTGAGGAAAAAGTGAAAATTTTTAATGACATAAAAAATTAACAAATAAATTTGCTACAATGCTATCAGTCACAAATTCTAGTTTACAGGTATCTGTACATTTAAATCAATACAGGGTTAAAAATATTGCAGAGAAGCCTCTTCAGCAGAAATATACATGAATCAATGATGTTTAATTCCATCTACCTTAAATTCTATACCCTCAGCTTAAAAGCTTCAATATTGATAGGTGAAGTAATAATCAACTGGGAAATATCTGTAATGACTCAGTAACACTTAATAAATAATAACTATTTATAAAAAAAATGACACAACCAAAGGCATCTTTTTAGGTGACAGTCTTCTAGAAAACTTAGGAATATTTTGACATCTTTTACTGAGAAAGTAAACCTCTATTTGGGAAAGAATTTCACTAATCAAGATTGAGCATGCATAAATAGATCTATATTAATTATATGCATAGAGCTATGAAGCCATTCTTTCAGAAAGTAAGTCTTTTAGCACAAAAATGCATCAGGCATTGTCCTAGAACAGCAGCAGCACTGAGCCAAATACACATACCAAATCACCCAAATCAACGTGGCCTACAGAACATACATTAAAAGCACATAAAGAAAAGAAAAATAAGCAATACTTCCTAAAAATACTTTTTTTAAAGCTAGAGAAATAAATACATCAACAACAAATTGCAAAAAATACAAGTTGGACACAGGACACAGAAAGAGGGATATTACTGCTAACTTCAAATGGATCTTGACTGAAAGTGAGAATACCAGAAATACATTTGTCTTTTATTGACTTGTGCAAAGATAATTCAACTGTACGGATCACAACAAATTATGAATGACATTTTGGAGAATGGTAATTCCAGAATACTAAACATGCTCTTACTCAAACTGTCCATAGACCAAGAAGCAGACACTGAAATATACAGCACAGTTTAAAGTCAAATGAGAACCAGATATGGTTGCTTTTATCACCCTCCTACTCAATATTATACCTGAAGTTTCAGCCAGAGCTATACACAAAGAAAGGAAATAAAATGCATCCAAACTGACAAAAAGTAAACCTATCTCTATTCACAGATTGTGGCCAATTTTGAGAAGAATGAGAATCTCAGAACACTTGATTGTGCTTATGCAAAAACTATACTTGGACCAGGAGGCAGTCATCAAAACAGATAAAGGAAACACTGCATGATTCAAAATAAACAAAGGTGTATGCCATGGATGCATCCCATCTCCATATCTTTTCAATGTATATACATCCACGGGGCTGAGGAACGTGGCATCAGGAATGGAGGAAGACTCATCAACCACCTACGTTATGCAACTAACAGTCTTACTTGTTGAAACTGAGGGCCAGAGGCATTTGTTGCAGAGGGTCAAGAACTGCAGCCTTCAATATGGATTGAAGATCAACATCAAGAAAACGAGATTTCTCACCACTGGGCTGATTGGCAGCATTGTGATAGATAGTGAAGATATTGAGATTGTTAACAGCTTCCATTTGCTTGGCTCCACAAACAAAACTTTTGGTACAAGCAGCCAGGAAATCGAAAGACAAATTGCATTGGAAAAAAAATGTGCTGTCAGGAACCTCTCCAGAGTACTGAGAAGCAATGATGTCAGTCTAGAGACTAAGGTATGCCTGATTCAGGACATGGTCTTTGCAATTACGTACTATGCATCAGAAAGCTAGACAATGACTAGGGATGATAGAAGGAGAATTGATACCTTTGAATGTTGGTGCTAGAGAAGAGTTTTTAATATATCATGGACTGCTAGGGGAACAAACTGATTCATCTAGGAGAGGGGTGAAAACAGGCTGCTCCTTGAAGGCAGGGATTCTGAAGCTCCGTATGACATACTTTGGGCATGTTGCAAGAAGAGACCAGTCCTTGGAGAGGGACATCATGTTTGAGACAATAGAAGAACAATGCAAGAGAAAAAGACTCTGGATGAGATGGATAAACTCAGTGACTGGGGTTATGAGGGTGGGTGTGTCAGAGACGATGAGGCTGCTTCAGGATAGAGCAAGATTCAGAGCTGTTGTACACAAGGTCACTGTGAATTACAGGTGATTTGATGGCACTTAACAACATTTACAGATTAGACGATCCTACATATAGAAACTCCCAAAGACTTAGCAAGAAAGGAAAGGAAAACAATGCCATTACAAAAGTTACTAAAAAATAAATTATTTTGGCGAGCTCTGGTGGCCTAGTGGCAAGAAGCTGCACTACAATCCCAGAGATACGAGATTTGAATCCACCAGATTCTCTGCTGGAAAAGGAGGGACACTCTCCTCCAATACCAGTCAGATCCAATTTGACGGTATACACACAAAAAAAATAATAAAAATTTGTAAAAAATGAAATATTTAGGAATAAATCTTATGACAGATACAAAGACCTACAAAAAACTACCACAAGAAACCCAAAAGCAATTTATAAATGGAAAAATACACTATATTCATGGATCTGAAGACTTAACTTTGTGAAAATTGAATATTACCAAAAGCAATTCACAAATACAATGTAATCACTATCATCACTAACTTCACATGAAAAGAAGAAAACATTACATAAGCCAAGTGACAGTAAAGAAGAAAAATAATGTAGAAGGCATCACACTTTCTAAACTCAAAACATACTACAACAGATATGTTGTTAGTTGTTATTTACAGTCTAGTCATCTGCGACCCAGAGCGACACTATGTACAACAGCCCTAAAGCCTGCTCTATCCTGTGCAAATATTATAGTTTCTGACACACCTACCTCCAATACCCCAGTCACTGAATCAATCCATCTCATCAAAGATCTTCATCTCTTGCACTTTCTACCCTCCCAAGCATGTCATCCCTCTCAAAGGACTAGTCCTGCCTTGCAACATTTCCAAAATATGTCAAAGCTTGAGAATCCTTGTTCCAAGGAGCAGCTTGGTCTCACCCTCTCTAGGATAAACCTGTTTGTTCTCCTAGCAGTTCACAGTATATTCAATACTCTTCCCTAGCTCCACAGCTTAAAGGGATCGATTTTCCTTCTATTGCCTGTCCAGCTCTCTGACACATAGCAAGTAATTGCAAAGACTATGGCCTGGATCAGGTACACCTTAGTCTCCAGAGTGACATTTTTGCTATTTGGTACTTTGGAGAGGTCTCTGCCAGCAGACTTTCCCAATGCAATTTGTCTTTTCATTTCCTGGCTGCTAGTACCAGGAGTGTTGGTTGTGTAGCCAAGCAAACTAAAGCTGTTAATAATCTCAATCTTATCACCATGTATCATGATGCTGCCAATCAGCACAGTAGTTAGAATCTTTATTTTCTTGATGTTGAGCTTCAATCCATATTGCAGGCTGCAGTCCTTAATCTTCTGTAACAAGTGCTTCAGTTTCTCCTCAGTTTCAGGAAGCAGGGTTGTTATCTGCCTAATGGAGATTGTTGATGAGTCTTCCTCCAATCTGAATATCACATTTCTTCTCATAGAGCCCAGCCTCCTGGATAATCTGTTTTGCATATAGACTGAAAAGGTATTAAGATAGGAAACAACACTGGCATACCCATTTCCAGTTTGAACCATGCAGTGTTGTCTGGCTCTGGTCTGATGACTGCCTCGTGATCCAACTATGGGCTTCACATAAGCAAAATCAAGTGTTCTAGGATTCACATTCTTCTCAGCCACAGTTTGTTGCAATCCAGTCAAATGCCGTTGCATAGTCAATGAAATACAGATAGACATTCCTCTGGTACTCTCTATCTTCTGCTAAGATTCATCTAACATTAGCTATAATATCCCTAGTACCACGGCCTCTTCTAAACTCAGCCTGCACTTCAGGCAGTTCTCTGTGGATGTGCTGTTCCAATTATTTTTGGATAATCTTCAGCAGAATCTTGCTTGCATGTGATATCAATGATATTGATAAATAATTTATGTACTCTATCAAGTCACCTTTCTTTGGAATGGGAACAAATATAGATCTCTTTCAGTCAGCTGGCCAGGTGATTGCCCTCCAGATTTCTTGGCACAACTTGGTGAGCACATCCAGGACAGTGTCTACAGACACAGTAACCAGTAATCAAAACTGCTTGATACTGGTCCAAGAACAGGTACACAGATCAATAGAATGAACTGAGAATGCAGAAATAAAATCATCCACCTATGTACAACTGGTATATAACAAAGATATGAAGCCTATTAAGTGGAGAAAACTCAATCTCTTTAACAAATGGTGCCAGGAAAACTGGATTGACTATTTGGAAAAAAAAAAAACCAAACAGAAACAAAGCACATAACCTCACACCATATGTAAAAACTGACCCAAGGCAAATAAAGGATATTGATGTAAAACCTAAACCATAAAGATTTTCAAAGAAAAAAAATTGGGGCAAAATTAAGAACCCAATTCTATAGAATAAATATACTATAAAAGTACAATCAAGAGTATAAGCTAGACAAATTGTTGTTGTTATTGTTATTATGTGCTTTTGAATCAAGTATGACTCACAGCAACCCTATGTATAGCCAACCTGAACCCTGCCCTATCCTGTGCCATCCTCATCATCTGATACATTAAAGCTTCTTGCTGGA